GAAGGAAGGAAGGAAGGAAGGAAGGAAGGAAGGAAGGAAGGAGGGAGGGAGGGAGGGAAGGAAAGAGGGAGGGAGGGAAGGAAAGAGGGAGGGAGGGAAGGAAGGAAGGAAGAAAGGAAGATAGGCTTTGGCACAACAACCCGTGATCATTGTAGACACTGTGTAATTTCCCAAATGCAATGCAGCCAGCTTCTTTCCTCCTAATCAAATCTGAGCTCAGCTCATTGCCATCTGCATTGAGTTTTCCTTCCTTCCTCTTCCTTGACCAGAAGAGACTCCAATGAGCATTAAAACGGCCAAAGAGGAAAACAAAAATAAGGCAGAAACTAAGTAATCCACCACGGAAGAGGAATTAGGAATGAAATGGGACTTTGTAGATTATATAAGGTATTGTTACATGTTTATGGACAAGGAAATAAACCTAGAAAGGTATTGACCATCTAAAAATTACACTTGCTGGTATTTATAAAGCCCTTTACCTATGTGGTCATCAGATCTTCCCAAGAGCCCTGAGGTAGGTTCTATTATCTCCACTTTACAGATGTGGAAACCAAGGCAAACAGAGGTTAAGTGACGTGTCTAGTATCTGAGGCTGGATTTCAACTCAAGTCTTCCTGACTCCAAGTTCAGTGCTCTGTCCACTGCGCCTTCCGGCTGCCACATACAGAGGGACTAATTCAATGTACCACCCATTTAGCTACAAGGCAGAACCTAAGCAATGTATGTCCTTAACATGGTGGACAAGCTTCTCTTTCTACAAGTCCAATTAAGAGTTCTGCCAGATTTGATCATGGAAAGATTACTCAACCAGAAGTGTTGATTTCAGCTGTGTGACACTGGGCAAGTCACTCAACATCTCTGGGCTTCAGTTTTCTCATCTATAAAAATCTATCAGCACTTTATATAATCTATAAGGCCTCTTGCTGTTCAAAAAGTCACTTCTGAAGCAGACTGTCTAGTTTGTGAATTTTCCTTGGTTTTTCCCTTTGGCTGTTTCATTGCTCATTAGAACTGAGACATTTAGGGTGCTGGACTTACCTAGAGTCAGGAGGTCCTGAGTTCAAATCCAGCTACAGGCACTTGTTAGCTCTGTGACTCTGGACAGATCCCTTAACCTCAGTTTCCTTATCTGTAAAATGGGAATAATAGCACCTACCTCCCACTGTTGTGGTGAAGATAAATTAGATAATACTTGCAAAACGCTCTGCAGATCTTTGGCTTTAGTGCTATATAAATGCTAACTATTACTATTGTTATTATCTGCACCGTTATGGAAAGGAAGTAAGAAATTGACAGGCAGGCTAAAAAAATTATTATAGAAGGAAAATGAGATGGAAACTATTTGCCATTGTGAATTACTTTAGTTAGTTACCAGGGCTGATCGGGAACAATTCTGATTCCTTCCTGTTAGTTTCCGTCATCCAGGGAATTCCGAACTCTCTGAAGACATCATGCCTCCCCCTGTGCCTCTTCCAAGGAAAGGAGGTGCCTGGGAGTGTCAGCCAGGCTTTTAGAATGTGTAAATCAAGACAGCAGCAGGAAGAAAGTATGTTATATGCTGTAAATGCTCTTAAAATGTGGATAATCAGAATTCGCAGGATTAATAATGCATTGTATTATATATTGATTATACAGATATATTATAATGATAATTATGATTATGGGTTGCATTATTATTAGTAATTTAAGAGTGGTAACAGGAGGAAAAACCCAGTTCACAATAGTTAGAAATATCTCATTTTGAAGGAAACACATCTTAATCTTTGTGGAAGGACTAAGCAGGAGGAGGAGAAAAAGAAGAAGAAGAAGAAGAAGAAGAAGAAGAAGAAGAAGAAGAAGAAGAAGAAGAAGAAGAAGAAGAAGAAGAAGAAGAAGAAGAAGAAGAAGAAGAAGAAGAAGAAGAAGAAGAAGAAGAAGAGGAAAAGGAGGAGGAGGAAGAGAAGGAGAAGGAGGAGGAGGAGAAAAAGAAGGAGAAGAAGATGAAGAAGAAGAAGAAGAAGAAGAAGAAGAAGAAGAAGAGGAAAAGGAGGAGGAGGAGGAGCTAGCATTTCTACAGCCCTTTAAGTGTGCAAAGGGCTTTCCAAATAGCTCACTTTATCATTAGATTCTAAGCTCCTTGAGGGCAGGGATTTTCTTTTGCTTCTTTTTGCATCCCCAGTGCTTAGCACTGGGCCTGGCACATAGCAGGCATTTAATAAATGTTTACTGATTGATTGTCTTCACAACAACTGTGGGAGGTAGGTGTCATTATTGCCTCAGTTTTACAGATGAGGAAACTGAGGCAAACAGAGGTTAAAGTCACTAGCCCAGGGTCCCACAGCTAGGAGGTTTCTGAGGCTGGATTTAAGCTCAGGTCTTCCTGATTCCAGGTCCAAAATTCTATCCACTTTGACACCAGCTACTGAAGCCTATGGACCCCTTTCTCAGAGTAATGTTTTTGAATGCATAAAATAAAATGCATAGCATTACAAGGAAACCAACTAGGTTGAAATTAAGATACAATCTTTTCCCACTCAGTTGTGCAGACCCCCCCCCCCCCGAAATCAATCCATGGTGTATTGATGCCAGGTTAAGACTCCCTGAATTCTAGACTACCGCCTGACTTTATGGCTATAGGGACAGAGACCAAGAGTGATTTGCCCACGATCACACAGTTAGCTTTTGGCAGAGCTGGACTGAGAATCTGAGTCCTTGAACCCCCTATGTCTCTGTTCTTTCCATCCAGCCATCCCCTCCCCCCTCTCCCTCCTCCCCCTCCCCGTGCTTCTTCGGACTCCCTGACTTCTGAGCATCCCACGAATGGCACAGACAGGACTCTCAGATTCACAAAGACCGTTCCTCGCTCGCCAAGTCCCTAAGTCAATATCAGCCAACATCACCATCCTCCTTGGAGAGCCAGTGCCCTCCCTCCCCTCCTGCTCCTGGGGAAACCTGGGAGCCCTCGGCGTCTCAGGGCTTGGCTGCGGAGAATATGGCGCTTTCTTTGGCCGTCCTGCTCATGGGTCTGGGGCTCTTGGAGCCGGATGTAGACTCCATCCTCACACCTACAAGCAGCTGCTGCACCTTCAGGAAGGAGGCCCCAGAAATCCTGCCCAGGCCAGAAAGACCCACTTGGGAAAGAAGCCCTGCATCTTTAAGGTCGTACCTCAAAAGCGTTCGTGCTGGGCTGGCTGGCCCTGCCCCAGGGTTTTTCTGGCTGCCTCTCACACAGGCAGTAAAAGTGGGTTGGCCTCTCTGCTGTCTGTGCCCCTCCACTCCCCGCTCCTTCTCCTTAGCAGCATAGAAGGAAAATATGGCCGCTCCAGGTGGGGGGATGGAGAGAAGGCCTCAAGAAGGCTTTTCTGTCATTTCCTCCATAGTGTGCACACTACCCAAGCTCCTCATAAACCTGTCCTATCCTTGGTATAGGCCATAGTCCACCTGGACCATCAGACTCATCTTCGAGTGCCACATACACCATTCCAGGCTGTTCTTGGAAAGCCAGCTCACAGGGGAAAATTCAGATAACAAACGTGTACAATGCAGACCACGGTCCACCCCAGGAGAGAGGGGGCTCCTGAGCCAGCCCCAAGTGCATATGGGGTGGGGAAGCAGTCCACTGGCCTTGGAGGGGGAAAGGGGTCAGGGGGCTCTTGCTTCTCCTAGGGCAAGGGTGAGTCCTTCCAGACAGGGTGCCTTGCAGGCAGCTCAGAACAGGGAAAGGGAAGACTCTCACAATAGCACCAGAGTGAAAAATAGGAATCTTTTTTTTTCTGTTGCACCAGAACTATAAATTATAGAGTGGGTGTAGACCTACATTTGAAGAGGGAATTTCATTGGCACAGAAAATTCCTACTACCAATGCAGGTTAGCATCTACTATGCAGTTTTCAGTCTTGTAAGATTTGTCTGTGGGGCAGGTAGGTGGCAACATGGATAGAGCTCTGGCCTTGGAGTCAGGAGGACCTGAATTCAAATCCAGCCTCAGACACTTGACACTAGCTGTGTGAACCTGGGCAAGTCACTTAACCCCGGTTGCCTCACCTAAATAAATAAATAAATAAATAAATGAACAAACAAACAAACAAACAAACAAATAAATAAATAAATAAATAAGTAAAAAAAAAGATGGCCCCCAAAACTGAACACTGTACTCCATATGAGCTCAGATGAGAAGTACAGGGAGACTATCACCTCTGCGTTCCTGAAGCTAGGCCCAAGATGATTCCATTCTCCGTTTCTGACTGCTTCATCACACTGCCTTGTGGTCCACTAAGAACCCCAGATCTTTTTTCATAGGATCATTGCATTAGAGCTGGAAGAAACCTCAGAAGCAAGCCACTGAATCCAACCTCCTCATTTTGCAGATGAGGAAACTGAGGCTTAGAGAACCTAAGTGACTTACCTAGGATCACACAGTTACTGAATGACTCTGAGGCAGAATTTAAACTCAGGTCTTCTTGGCACTAAATCTATCCACTCTGCCTCTTAACTAGACAAAATGCTAATCATTCAACCCACTCAGATTGATCTGAGGATTCGCACCTAGCAACTGGAAGGGGGCGCTCTGCGTGTCCTAAGCAGGGCACCACCCTTCTTGTAACAGCCATGGCATTCCCATCTGCTCCTATGGGACCCTATTGCATTCAGAGTCAGAAGGGACCTACGTCTCAGGCCAGACACTCCCATGCGTTTGGTGATGCCCCACAGCAGCGGCTATGCTTGGCCAGGCTCCTATGTGACCAGCTCTGTCTTGGCTCTGCTCAGGGTGCTGCTCCCAAGGCCAGGATGCCTGGTGTTAGCACTCCCTAGGCTTATTTTACAGACCTAAGGTCCAGACAAATGAGTGATTTGCCCACAGCCACACAGTAAGTTAAAATTCCTTTTGTCACTAAATGCCAGTCCTGGTTTTGAACAGCAGACTTGTAAGCCTCCATTCAGGGTTCTGTGCATGACTCTCTGTCCAACAGTCCCCCAGGCACCCCAGCAACACCCCCCTTTCCCTAGACCCTTCAACCATACCATGCTTCAACAGATCAGCTGCCCGGCCAGCGACTCCTCTTCTCCCTCCGCAGCTGCTCTGGCTCATGTCCAGTAGGTGGGATGGGCTTAAGGGGCCCTAGGAGGCAGAGAGCCCAGCTCCCACCCTGAGGGTCGGCCTCAATCTGTCAGGACAGCCCCTGAACATGCCTCTTCAAGAAGTTTGCTTTTGAAATAAAAAAATCTCTCCCTGCCTATTTACCACCAAGAGGCTCCCAGGGACCTGGGGCAGCCTGGAGCTTGGGCTGCCAAGCAATGTGCCTCTTGCTCCTTCTCCGAGATGGTCCCGAAGTGCCTGGAAGTCCTCCCAGGGCCCTGTCAGCCAGCTGGCTCCCCAAGGAGTCTATTCCAGGTCCCGTGGGTGCTCCAGAGTGAGCGTTTGTGAGTGTGTGTGTGTGTGTGTGTGTGTGTGTGAATGAGTGTGTGCGCGAATGAGTGCACACACCTTGGTGTGTGTGCGAGTGTTTTTGCAGTAAGTTCTAAGTGTGCCTGAGAGTGGGTGTCTGAATGTGCGCCTCAGTGAGAACACATATGCTTTAGCGTGTGTGCATGTGTGTGCACCTGGCTGGATGAGAGTGTGTCTAAAGACGGGTGTGCATCTCAGAGTGGAGTCAGAGTGTGCCTAGATGTGCCAGTGCACACGGGTATGTGTCCCTGCCCCCACCACGTCTGAGGAATGAGCTTCACCCGGATGTCGCTTCATCTGTCTGCTGCAGGCTGTGCTGGGCTGAGCTGGTCTGCGCTGGGATGGCCCGTTCTAGGCTGGGCAGCGCTGGACTGGGCAGTGCTGGGCAGGGCAGTTCAAGACTGGGCAGAGCTGGCCTGGGCTGTGCTGGGCAGCACTGGGCTGAGCTGATCTGCGCTGGGATGGCCCGTTCTAGGCTGGGCAGTGCTGGACTGGGCAGTGCTGGGCAGGGCAGTTCAAGACTGGGCAGAGCTGGCCTGGGCTGTGCTGGGCAGCACTGGGCTGAGCTGATCTGCGCTGGGATGGCCAGTTCTAGGCTGGGCAGCTCTGGACTGAGTAGTGCTGGGCTGGGCTGGCTGGGAAGCACTGGGCAGGACAGTTCAAGGCTGGGCAGCGCTGGACCGGGCAGCGCTGGCCTGGGCTGGGGCGGGCGGCCCAGCTGGAGCCAAGGGAGCAGCAGAGGAGTTTCCAGTTGCGCCGACTGATTTTCAAAAGTCCTGAGACAGCCAGTGCAGCCCGGCACTTGGCAGCCGAGGGGAGGGAGGGGACAAGGGGAAGGGAGGCAGGGCGGGGAGGAGCAGCCCCTGCCATTGACTCAGGCTCCTTTCACAATAAAAGCCTTGCCTGTATTACCAGACCCCAAGAGCCCCCAGTCCAGGTGAAAGGCTGAAGGCTGATCCAGGTCTCAACATGGAGAGGAGAAGCCAATGCTACCATCCCTCTATGCTTCCCTCCCCCCCCCCTTCACTGGCTCTGAAGTCGGAGGTGGGGCCTTAGACATGTCACTTTCCTTCTCTGGGCCTCAGTTTCCTCATCTGTAAAGTGAGGAGGGGGTTCGCTAGACAACTTCTATAGAGCACCTACTACGTGCCAGGCACTTTACTAAGCACTTTACAAATATCTGTTTGATCTTCAAAAACACTCTGGGAGGCAGGTGCTGCTATTATTCCCATTATACAGTTGAGGAAACTGAGGCAGACCGGTTAAATGAATTGTTCAGGATTAGACAAGTACAAAGTGTCTGAGACCAGATTGGACTCGGGTCGAATTGACTCCATTGTGCTGCCCAGCTGCCTCTCAATCCATGATGCTTTAGGAAGGCGGTGGGGGGAGTCCAGGAAAGTATCAGAAGAGGAAAGATAACGTTCGTAGCATTAGCAGATGTGTTTTCCATGCAATGGGTAGAAGGGGAAGAGTGCCAAGTTTTCAGTCAGCAAACCTGGTGTTTGACACTAACTAGTTGTATGATCCTAGGTAAGTACCTTTTCTTTATAGATTTAATGTGGAAGAGACTTTAAAAGTCAACCTCTTTACTTTACAGATACGGAAACTGAGTCCTATAGAGGGGGAGTGACTTGTCCAAGGTCACACAGCTAGTAAGTGATAGAGATGGGATGATTCCAGGTGATAGGGTCATAAGTATAGAGTTAGAAAGGACCTCCAAGCCCTATTCCATTACTTTATAAGGAAGTTAAGTGACTGCCCAAGGTCACACAGATAAGTAAGATGAAATGTCATGGGTGAGAAAGAGCTCTGGACTTGGAGCCAAGGGATCTGAGTTCAAATCTTTTTCCTGCTATTTTGCTACCTGTCATCTTAGAAAAGTCACTTAACTGTTCTGGGCCTCAGTTTCCTCATCTGTAAAATGAGGGAGTCCTACTAGAGGACCTCTAAGGGATGTCCCTTCCGGTTCTAAATCTGTGGTCCGAAGGAGGCTTGTTTGCCTGGACCATCGAGTGCATGAAGGGAGTGAAGTGCAATGAGCCTGGAACTCCATGGAAGGGAAATCTCTGACTATTTCAGCCTAGCGAGTCCATTCATGATGGCTTTTTTTTTTTTTTACTTTTCTCTTTTAAATAAAATAATCCATAGCAGTGGCTGGGAATTTTCCTTTTCTGGTGTTAATCGAATTGAAGAACCTCAGCCCTGGTCATTCCTCAGAAGCCGTCATGGTCCTTCACAGACATTAGCTCATTGATCCAGTCCTGGGCCGCTGAGGCTGGCCCATAGTCATGGTTAACATTTGTAGGGTTGTGACGCCTTCTTTACAGCAACCCTGTGAGGCAGGCAGGATGAAGCATCGTTACCTCCATTATACAGACGAGGAAACTGAGGCTCAGAGAACATAGTGGACTTCGTTGTTGTTCAGTCTTTTCAGTTGTGTCCAACTCTTCCTGACCCCATTTGGGGTTTCCTTGGCAGAGATACTGGAGTGGCTTGTCATTTCCTTCTCCAGCTCATTTTGCACATGAGGAAACTGAGGCAAACAGGGTTAAGTGACTTGCCCAGGGTCACCCAGCTTGTAAGTGTCTGAGGCTGGATTTGAACTCAGGTCTTCCCAACTCCAGACCTGGTGCTCTATCCACCAAGCCACCTCCAGCCAGGACCCAGAAGCACATTTCTACTGCAAGTTGCCTTTTAGAATTATGCAGGTGGGTACTGAGTGAAGTAAGCAGAACCAAGAGAACATTGTACATGATAACAGCCACGTTGTCAATGACTAATATTGATAAACTTAACCCTTTCCAGCAATACAAGGATCTAAGACATCTCCAGAGGCCTCGTGATGGAAAATGCTATCCACATCCAAAGAAAGAACTATGGAAGTTGAACTGCTATTTTTTTTTCTCTTCTGTTGACTTTTGTTTCCTCTTTCTGATGGTTCCTCCCATTGGTTTTAATTTTCACTTACAACATCACTAATGTGAAAATATGTTTAATAGGAATGTAAATGTATAGCCTATATTAGATTGTGCGCCATCTTGGGGAAATTAGTGGGGAGGAAGGGGGGGAAATTTTAAACTCAAAAGCATATGGAAGTGATTATTGATAATCAAAATAAATTAATAAAAGAAAAAAAGAAAAAGAAAAAAGAAAAAAAAAAGAATTACGCAGGTGGGAAAACCAAGGCATGGAAAGGTAAAGTCTCCAATTTAGTAGCATAGCCCAACACAGAAAGGGGAAATATAAACACAGCCTCCACAGGGGAGCCTTTCAGGAAAGGACGCTGGATTTGGAGTTAGATTTAAATGCATGACCTTGGACCAGTCACTTAATCCTCATAGGCCTCAGTGTCCCCATCTGTAAAGTGAAAAGACTGGACTTTGTGTGCCCGTGGATCCGTGGCAGTCCTAAATCAATATTTTCTGTAGTCCTAAACAAGCCTTGCCTCTCCTTGTCTGAAGGGCCAGCTCAAGGGGTCGTAGGGTCATAGATCTGAGGCTGGAAGGGACCTTGGAAGAAGCCCTTCCATTTTAGGAGCCTGGCAGTCATAGGCAGTCAGTGTCAAAGACAGGGTTCCCACTTGTCCTCTCCCTTCAGAACCACTGGGCCTTTCACTGCCCCCTCCCCACTCATTCCCATTATGTCCAGTCTACGATGGGGCTCTACAGTCTACAATTGCTCTAGCAGGGCTACCCTTCCACCACCTTCACTTTAGAATTCATGGAATTCAGATTGAGTCTACCAAATGCCAACCAACTCAGTGAAAAGAAGGAAATAAAATCGGCTAAATAAGCTCTATCACCATTTTACACTTCCAGGATGGTCTGAGGGGAGGAAACATGGCCTGGGATGCCAGGGCATTTCTGCGTGGCTGAAGGGGTGTCACGGTGTGGTTATTGCACACTGCAAAGAACAGGGCTGGACAGTAGAAGAAACTCACTCTGGGAGGAGGCCGCACCAGGGAAAAGAAGGGTGTCACTAGGTGATGCTGTCAGCACCTTCTAAATTGTCCACCCGGGGCTAAGCCCTGATGGGTTCAGCCAAGTGACAGCTCTATAGTTTACAATGTTTCTTCGATTTAATAGTAGATATTTTTCCAGAGTGTTATTGAAAAATTCATTAGCTCGAAGCCAATATGGTGATGACTGCTCAGAATTTAGCTAAGCTGATCTGTAGGGGACAGATGTACAGCGCATAAATGAAGGCATTCCAGCTTGGTGGGGCCAACAGAGTTTGTGTTCCATTGGAAGGGCCTTCAAGAACCTAGGGTCACCTCAACACCACAACAGGGCCTGAAAATGGACCTTAGTGGAAGTTTGAAAATGATGTTGATTTTAAAAAACAAAACAGTTGTCTGGATTAAACTTTGTTCTTGGCTCAGTTCCATCGGACCAAAGGGCCAGCCTGCGCAAGGCCCAGGATGTTCAGTAACATGGTTAGGGCCGGACAGCAAGCTGACAACCAAAACGAACAGACACTCGTCCGGAAATTTCCAGCCGGTCCTGAGGAGGAGCAGAAAGGCAAGTGGGGACATGACAGAATAAGATTCTGGTAGACCAAACTTAGCTGGGTCAGCAGCAAAAGGCTAGGGGTGAGAAGTCTGTGTTTAAGGAGTGTCGTTCTGTCATGCCCAACACTTTGTGGCCCCATTTGGGGTTTTCTTGGCAGAGATACTGGAGTGGTTTGCCATTTCCTTCTCCAGCTCATTTTACAGATGAGGAAACTGAGGCAACCAGGGTTAAGTGACTTGCTCAGGCTTACACAGCTAATGTCTAAGGCCAGATTTGAACTCAGGTCTTCCTGACTTCAGGCCCAACAATCTACCCACTGCACCAACTAGCTGCCCATCTAAAAAGTAAAACCGATCAATGCACCAGCGCTAGGAGAGCTCTCAGGTCCCTTCCAGCACGAGCGCCTAGGATGCCAAGTTTGATGGGCGTTTTCCCCCAGCTGTGCTTCTAAATGGTGTCAGCATTTCCCCACATAGTTTTAGGACTCGTGTTTTCCAGAGTTTTGATTTCTCTATGCTGGTGAGGGAGGGAAGGAGCTTGGAGCCTGGACAGGGTCCATTTTCAGAGATGTCGCAACAGATTTAATTCTTGTTGGAAGAGAAGAGAAGCATGCGTAAATCCTAGACCCAGCAACCAAGCCCATGCCTGGAATGTCTGCTTGACCCATCTCTGCTTCTTGGAACCCCCAGCTCTCTTCAAGGCCCCAGCTCAGTGACCGCCTCCCACAGGAAGCCTTTCCTGATCTCCCACCTGATAATACATCTTGAGTGGAAAGGGGCCTGAGAGCTTATGGAGTCCGGTCTCCACATTTTACAGAGGCCTAGAGAAGTGATTCGCCCAGGGTTGCACAGCTAGAAAGACTCTGAGGAGAGATTTGAACCCAGGTCTTCTTAATTCTGGGTCCAGTGCTCTATCCATTATACTACATTGCCTCTGTGGGTGGACTAAAGCCATTCAATAGACTCACTGAAGAATCCAATTATTTATTAAATTATTATTACATGTATTTATCAATGCATTTATTAAGCCCCCTACTATGTGTTAGGCACTTCACTAGGGAATGGGGATACAAAAACAAGAATGGGAATCCAACACTTTTTAAAACAGTCCCTGCCCTCATGGAGCTTACATTCTACTGGGTGGGGGTGAGGGACAACCAGCACACAAGGGAGTAAATGCAAAGCAATTTCAAAGGGAGAGAACGTTAATAACAGAGGAGATCAGGAAGAGCGTCCTGTAGGACCAG